TATCATACTTTTACTCTTCCATCTCGTTAGTCATTTGTCCACCTGTGATTTATTTGACTTTGACATTAAGTGTCGAATTACGCATAATTCGAAGGGACAAGTGTCGTTTTCCATCCAAATGCGAAGCACTTCCTCCCCTGTAGGCTGTAAATGTCTCGAGCACAACACCAATTAGGAAGTGAACAAAACGAGAGGGAGGTTGTCTCGTCACTTGGGTCTCTCCATTGCCTTAGATGGTCAAAGCCATAAAACTGGTCGTTGTCAAGGGTCATCCAGTCAGTCTTCAAGCGCTGTAGAGTGTAAAAGCCCTTCGGTATTAATCAAAAACAGCCACAGCAACTAAATTTTTATCCGTTTCAGTGTCATAATAATGGCTGTAGTGGCTAGCATTCAGCTCCATTCAGTATCGTAGAACGCATGAAACAATGACCTTGCAGCACTGCGGATATGGAATGTATCTATGGTTTGATCGCAAATGTGTAACTTTACTTTCGCTCTCAGACGACGCCAAGCATTGATGTGTCACTCATTATTCTTTCTAACCCTTTGTCCATTCTCATTTTGTTATCATTGAATTCAGTGGTTCACTCTTACTTTTCTTGTTTCAACGTTCTTTTGAACTTAGTTTATGTAGCAATAGTTACTAAAGGCAGCTAACCATTCTTTCAAACCTGGACAGTCCTGTGTAGACTTGAGATGCCAGTGACCGGTTCATCATTCCCTCGGGTCAGGGTGTGTGCGGGAAATGACACCAGGGTCAGGTGATGACTCGTCGTCGAAGGTGAAGGGGTCTCACGGCCAGATCAGGGGATGGGGGAGGGTCAGTCGACCTTGATGGACAGCTAACGGAGTCGGAGACCAGAGAGAAGTAGACGACCTTGGAGACGGCTGGACGGCGGAGACTTGTTTTATCTGACTCAGCAACAGCTAGGCGCGACAAGGTGAGGGATGCGACATGATGGGAGATGATATGGCATGGCAGAGCGAGAGATTGAAGGAAAAGAGAAAACACGGATGTTTTGGTTCAATAGCACATCCATTGCAGGGTTCATATTTAAGGTGATCATTTGAAACGTGCATGCAATGTCTGAGATGCTGTGTAATTGACTTTTCTAAAAGCGGCTTTAATTGCCGTTTTCTGTGACCACTGATGACAAATAATCGACGATAGCGGGGGATGTGGTGAGCGTCAAGCACCGGGTGTCTCCTGGCGAGCCCAGGGGGTGTGTCAGGGTCGCGTTCTTTCCCAGCGTGTCAGTTCCGTTCGGCCTCTGCAGGGACGGCCCGGTCAGGGCACTTTCTCCGTCAGTGGATTCCCCCCGACAGTGGGTGGATGGTGGTCGGCGATACACGCGAGACCGCAAACCAGCCGGCAGACTGAAACATAGCCCGACTAGGTTTCCTTGCAGGACGGTAGCTAGCCTGATAAGTAGCGCTTATTAAGAAAGATACCTAATTTTGCTATTCTAACGGAGCAAGTGCCACGTGAAAGGCCAACATGCGACGCTGGGCGTATGTGATCAGTTAGGCATGTCTTCTTTTGAGGTTGGCATTTTTGGCACATCATTTCTTCAAAACATCTTATTGTGCAGCCTGATGTTAACCATTGAAGCAGATAATTTCCTTCCTTTGGTACAGCATGCTAGCCACCACGCGTATCCTGATTTCACTTAATTACAGATGGATCCCTCAAACACTTAACTGTACACATGATTTCCCTCACACTAAAAAATGGTCATTTATGACGGCACGGGTGCCCAGATTGCCCCGGTTGAGGGCACTGCTGCACAGAATTAGTCAGAAACCATGCATGTCCGCTATGGTTTCTTATTGTGTCACTGTCTGTATTGTACGTAGAACAATGGGCAGCATAACCGCGCGGTCGATGTAACGGCTGGCGGACAGGGGGCTGATGTCTGTGCGCCGATGTCGGTACAGAGCAGACACAGACCCAGCGTATTGAAGGACAGAGTAGTTCGTTTGTTTCAGTAGGTGCACAGCTCACTGGTCTTGTGTAAGTCTGATGTTTCACTGCTCAACAAGAATTCCGTTAACCATAGGCAAAAAAGTACTCATCCATCTATGATTCAACTCATAAAATGGGTGTAGATATCGTAGAACTCATAAGTATACGGGGAAACAGAGGGAAGATTAACTTTTTGGCCTAGAATTATTGCCCGTTTGGTCCGATAACAGTGAAAAAATGCTATTGTATCTTTCATCGGGTAGTCGTTTCCAATATAACCAAAAGATGCCCCACCCAGCCTTTATGAACGCTTGGAAATCGAAGAGGGCCGATGACTGTATCGCATCACAGCAAAGGAGCACCAGGCAACGGAGACTGCACTACAAACTGGGAAAATAACACCAGTCTCCGGAGACTGTGATACTGGCTCGGTAAGCAGCACCAAACGCTGAAGACGGCAATGCGGGGTTGGTAAATAACACCAGGCGGCGGAGACTGCAACGTCTCATAGCAGCTAGCACCAGAGACTGCATTGCAGACTAAGCCAATAACACCAATGCAGTCCTGCCGTTGCGGGCCTCCTCCAGCAGGACGGAGAGGCGATGGGATTGGGGGCGACGAGGGGGGTGGGGTGGAGGAAGACAGACATAACAATGACTTGTTCAATGCTTATGCTTGCGATCAGCTGCCTCCGCCCTCCACTAACTTGACTTGCCGTCCAGCAATCATCAGTTCCCTTGAGGTGGTCTGACACAGGCACTGATCCCGTTCGCTTGCTACATTGGGCGACTCGTGGCAGCATCAGGTGTAAATTTCCTGTGCGGCGTCTCTGTTGTGAAGTTTTAACTCCGCGATAAAGTTTTAACTCTGTCTGTACCGGTTGTGTGTTCAGTAGAAGCATGTGGCGAGTATATTGTTACTACAAATATCGACAGAAGCGAGCCCGACACAGAGGACCGACACAACACGTGTTCGGATGTTTGCGTCTGAGTTTTCTGTCTAAGCCCATTCATCGTCATTTTTTCCGCAGAGTTTATCGAAATGAAGAGTGAAATGTGAGCTGACGTCCATAATTAGTCACGCTAACCTTTTGACATCGGCCCTGTCATTGAAGGAATGTTTCCTGTCGATGGAGGACTGGTCTGATGGCCCGTCTCAATAGTGGTCGGTTATACGACAAAATACAACACGGTGCTGACTCAGACCCCTGGAACTGGGCACCTCAGCAGCGTTCAGGCACCGATAGTAAGCCCGCAGACGTGCGAACACACTGTGATGGTGAACCTTATGCAACATTAGACCGTTGAATTATTATTGCATTAGCTCGTTGTAACATTAGACCATTGTAGCAGCGCTTACACACTCATAGTGGGCCTGATATGCTTGTATCCACTCTGAAAGTGGACTACTGTGGAGCTGCCTTGAGAATAAATCCTAACAATCTCCGGGGCTCAAGCACAATGATCAAAAAGTCGGCCACATCATAAAATGAACAGCACCCAATAACGGTTTAGTTCGATCCACCTTTCACTTTATTCTGATGGATCCTAATTGATTTTCAGATAGAAATCCTTCTCTGGCGCGTGCTGCGCTCAATCTGTCCACTCCCGTTCCTCTCGATTTAGCGTCGGTCACTCTTCTCCACGCCTGTGGGCGCGGCGGTCATCCAACGCGTCGCTGAACATCTGGGTGAGGTGTCCACTCCCGCAGGCGGTGGCCGCACCCCGCTCTCACCGATCTGCTCTCGGTAGAGGGGTGAGATCGGACGGCGTCTGTACGTACGTACATACATCAATCCGCGCCTCAGCAGCCATCGTCTGAGCGAATAGCTGATGGGAGTACTGAGACTTCTTCAGCGACCGTCTCATCACGACGCTCTCGGGGGAAAAGTTCTTGCGCTTTTTGGTTCAATAATTGATAGATTCAATATCGGGAAGAGATTACCTAAGGATGAATCAAACATTTAACGTGGCTAAATAATTGTTATAAGTGAAAAAGTCGAGCCCACATGTAGGTAAGGAGATCATTCAATTATTCATCGAGCGCTCCCTTTGAGGAATTGGTTAATTATCGACGCCGCTGTAGGTATACAGAAATCAGAATCAGCTAGACGTGATGCTGGCTTCGGGGAAGCAGAGGTAAGAGAGCTTGATGATCTCGTCGAGGGAGGGCACAGAAAGCTCTGTCTGCGAGAGGCTCGCCCTCTGCGGCTGCGCCGGACGCCGCGGGTAACCATCAGTCACTTTCTTTTCCTGTCTGAATATTTTGTGCGGGCTGTTCTGCCGCCGGCTACCGACCGCAGCACTCGAGTAGTCGGTTACCATGGTAACCAGAGGAGATCAGACCCCACCTTTTTGAAAGCGTCTGGAGATAAGATGCTTCAGGAATGCACTTTTACCTTCTCCGTGGGGAGTTGTTCGAACACGAACGAGCGGAATAAAAATTATCGCGCGACCTACGCTTTTATAGGATTAAGCACGTTAAATTAAAACCGGTTAAGTGCGTTAATACTGAAGGGTGTTAGCTTTACTCATACGGATAGAACATATTCAATTAAGTTCACGGGACTGGGGATAATCTCTACATGGAAGTTTAAAAACGGCAAATTATGCACTGCAGGAGGAGCAGTGCAGCGGCAAGGACCGTGCGCCATTGTATCACACGATCCAGACCAATATTGTCTGACAAGAATGACGTGCCCCACAACTCAAAGGAGACTGGGGAGAGGGCAGTCCCAAGAAGCTTAGCTTTTCCATAACGTTCCCTTCTCCGGCTGGCTCCCGTTTGGTGAATCCCACCGCACCATGCTTCCCAGAAATCACTCCCTCAAGGACATTACAATCCCAGGTGACAAGTGACATCCTCTTCCGACTAACATCACGGCACTTCGCAGTTCTCCCTGGCTGACACCTCAAAACCCCGCTCTAAATGTCACCATGACGCCCTGTTCTGGTTACCCCTGACACTTGTTCCTTAGGTTAGAATGTGTTTCTGGCATCAGTGACACTCCTCACCACCCGGTACTTCGACCTACCTTGGGTAGCATGGCTGTGTCCGTCCGCTGGCGGCGGCTCAGACTCCTGGATCGGACCGTTCGAAGACTCCCTGGTGACGCTCTCTATGTGAGCAGCCTCCCGAGTCTCCGCGTCACACTGCTCACCGCCCGGCGCGCGCCGCTCGACTGACCGGCCGGTCGGAGTCGGGCCGCCACTTTCACCGCTGCACTTCGAGCCGGGCTCCGAGCCGCCCCCCCCCCGTGTGGGGGGGGGGGCCGCCCCCACCGCCGGCGGCCGGTCCGACGGGGTCCGGAGATACTGCACCCGCACCCGCTGCATTCCTGGGTCAATCAAATGTACTCCGATGTCCTCTATTCCCTCAGGGTGAAATTTTTAATGTACACTTTACTGTGGTCGAAATTTGTTGATAGGTACTAGCCGTTCTCAACACGGGCTATCTGGCGAATGCTCCAAATTTGACCAAATCGGCACCAAATCTCTTTTACAATAAATATCTTCATACTGTTAATTTATTTGAGTATTTTAACCCGGCCGGGCCCGGGGGGTAATCCCAACCACCGCAGCCCGGGGGGGGCGTTTTTCGCCCCCCCCCCCTGTCTAACTCCGTAAATAAGGGAGCTACGGAAACAAAAGCGATACCAAACGAAAGGTCCTTACGAGACGATTCTAATGCACCCAAAATTTTTGACCTCAGGTCAATTTTTAAGGTCAGAGGTCAAGGTCGAAGGCCAAAACCGGCACACGTGTAGTGATCTCAAAGTAAGCATTCTAGAGGACGGCAGGCTGCATCAAACCGGCAAAATTGTGTGTCAAACGAAAGAAGAGGATCTGAGGATTCTGAAAATGTGCTCCAAATCAAAGGTCAAGGTCAAGGTCACGCTCAAAATTGACCTCAACCTTGGCACTTTTTCGCACATCTTGCGTGCTAACTTCCAAGATGTTTTGAAATGTTTTGAGGCTTATCAGTTCCCTATTTGTGGTTCATCTTACGATACAAGGCTGCTCAAAGGTCAAGGTCACAGAAGAGTATCCCTGCTAGAGGCTATTTCACTGATTCAAGTTAGTAATAATAAATAAGACAATTTTGCCATCCGGAAGCTCTAAATGAAGGCTTAGAGGAAAATAGATGCCAGATTCGTGATCAGCGGGTACAAATCCATCATAAACGACCTTTCATGTGTCAAGGTCAACCAGAGGTCATTCGAGGTCACATGAGGTCAACATGAAACTTGACCTTTTCTGAACAAAATATATATCATTCGACGCGGCTTGACAAGGCGAATGCGATGGTACCACTGCCGTAGCTCTAGGACCATTTTTGTCGAAGTTATTTGCGAAAAACTAAAACCACATTTCGGGGTCGTTGACCTGACCTCTGACCTCAGGTCACCGAAACTATTTTTCTATTTTTCTCTAGGTCAAACGCTACACAGCCGTGCTCGTAATTTGTCTTTATCTCTAAAACTCTATTTTTAGCAGCTATTTGAAGTTTGCGTCTGTGACGCCGAAGTTTGCCGTGCAGGGGTCTAGAAAAATGGACCTTGTGACGTCATCAAGGGGGCTAGGTCCAAATTTTTTACTTCAGAAGATGTCAAATTGATGGGAGAAAAGGTACTGAAAGTTTCGCCTTCCTATCCCTAAGCGTTCGTGAGTTATCGCAAATATTCGCCAGGGGGGGGGGGGCGAAAAACGCCCCCCCCGGGCCCGCGAGGGTTAATGGAAAATAATTTCTGGTACCTAATTAAAAAATGAGGTTTATAAGAATGTGTGTAACCCAAGATGATAACTTTAAAGAAACACACTGAACCTAATTTGACCAAATCTGTACCAAATCTGCACCAACTAATCTGCGCCAAATGTGTACCAGATGGCCGTCGTGAAAACGGCTACTTTTGCTGCATTATCTGTCTTTCTTTATCTTTCGATGAATTCGTTGGTTGACAGACCTGCATAATGATTTCCTTATAAATGAAATAAATATGTAATCTCACACCTATTCAAGATACCTATGATTTCATTCCAACTCGGTTAGTTGACCTTGTTCGTAGGTATACCTATTGAGACTGATTCCATCATATGATAGCTATAGGTATTAGGTACTAGGTAGCATCTCAATCATTACTCCTGAGCCTCGGTAGTCCCGGTGAGATGGCTGGAATTCCTCAATGTTCCTAACCCTCTCCTCCTCCGATCCAAGACCCTCTCGCCAGGACTGTGGCGATCGTTGGTATTTTTGGCACCGTTCAGCATCGTCTGGTGGTGATTTATGATCTAAGTGGCGTCACTGGTGGAGTCGAAAGGTAACTGTCTCTGTCACCCACACACGCTGTCTCGTCTGCTGCAGACTGGAGATAGTGCAAAGCCCTGAGTAACACCTCCTCACGCCGCCCTTTTTAGCGGGTCATCAGACAGGAATGTAATTTAGCGACGGCTTGCAGCTGGGAAGATGGTGCAGACTGCGACAGTACCTAGCCTTGGAGCTGGATGAAAGTCGTCCAGATGCACGGTTTGTGGTCAGTGAGACGGTCGCAGGGGGATAGAGATTAGGGTATTGATTGAGCTGGGGGATGGTACCGCCCCGTACCAGTGTTTACGGTGGTACTGTTAGAAGCAGATGCTTCTCTGTTCGTATGAGTCATGGATCGGGTTCATTTCCCAGGGATCCAGATTTCAGCCAAGGTTGGGAACGGTTTTGTCTCGACGGATACTGAGACGTGGAACAGCCGTTTCGAAAAGAAAAAAAAAACTTTTGAGTTACTATGAACAGGATGAAACCATTTTTGGCTAAAAGTTGTCCTACCAGGCTACGTCCTATAATCCATTCATTCGGAACCGGACGCTCGGTTATATAACTGCGTGACATCGTATTCGTGTCCGCGTTTCAGTCCTCACGTGCGGAGAGAGCCAGATCAGTGTCCCGCCGGGTAGAGCGGTAGCCCAGCCGGAGGAGTTCGGTTCGACGGTAGCTGAATGGAGTTTGCGGCTCGCACAATTGACGGGAGCTATAGATCAGCGCAGTTCCTCGCGAACGTCCGATATGTTTAGGATGGTTCGATTTTCGTCAGTCTAACTTTGCATGCAGAGTTTGCGGCGGCGGCAATATTTCGATTTTCAAGATTGACAGAGGATCAAATTGAATTCGGCAAAGTCTTGGGTTATTACAAGCTTCAAACATCTTACATCTCACGTTCGTAAGTGTTCCCTTCTAATTTGTGGCCTATAAATAAACCGCATGTGGCATGTGCGCACAACTCCACGCAATCTTGTGTCATTGCAAATCTGACCACCATTTAGTAACCGTGTCGCCCAGCCACCCCATATCTGCACCACACCCAGTGAAGGCGAGTCCGTCACTGGGCGTGTCCGTCACCGGTGTGTGAGTGTTGCCCCATCTCGGCCGCCCGAGGGTGTCGGTAGAGTAATGCCGCCGGGGGGCGGAGCGGCGCGTGGTCAGTTTTCCCACGGGTAGGGTGGTGTGCGGGTGTCTGAGGTGGTCGGCGGGCCGCAGAACGCCGCAGGTTATCGTTACAATCACCGTCACTGCCGCCACTGTTACGGTGTTACCAGCGGTAGTCATAATCGTCAACCCTGCAGTCACTGTCAGGTGTTACCGGCAGTCACAGTTGTCAACACCGTCACTATGTGATGTTTTCGGTATAAGATATTACTTAGGGCACTAAAGAGTCAGAGTTACCATTCTATTGCAATTGATTCAATTTCGTAATACAAACCTTAGGTCCCGTAGTATGTCCTATACAACAATTTTAGCCATTTTGAACGAATGGTGACACAAAGATGCTTACTTTAGGGGTACGAATAGCGCAACCAGATCCATTATACTCTGAAATAACTGGCCAATGGGTTGTGTCTAATTGGTACTGGTCCTGCTGGGCCAGTGCAAGTGTGATCCGCCTCGACAAATGCATGCCGGAGCTGCGCTCGGCCTCGGTAAACCGCTTCAGCCCCTCTCCTATCGGTTGCCTACCAACTTTTAGTTCCATTTAGTACCATCACAGGATGGTGGCGCTGGAGGCTGGTCCAAGCTCGCGGCTAGCCTGGTCTTCACCGCTGGAGTGTCATCGTACAATATCGAGCGGTATCACCATTCCTGATACTAAGACGAATATATCAGTGGAAAGAATTTGCACTTAGGTAACCAACCGCTATCAACTACAGTGCCACACTTTCTTCGCACTCTAAAGCCTGATCAAAATCTAACAGGCAACAAGCATCTTTTGGTGATTTGTCTGTATTATGAGCTACAGAGGTATACGCCATATCACAGTATTTTCCCATACATTTTCAGGATTGTGGGTATGAAACATACAACCAAAGCGACAGATTACAGGTCACTTAAATCACTGTGCCAATAATGCGAGCACACATTCTGAAATCGGCACATGTGAATACGTCGGCGGTCTATCTTCACATCGTGTCCAAGATGGCTTCAAATCGGGCCGTAAGTTATACCGCCGGGTAAAACATATCATCACACCTTCGCCCACATACCACAGCCGTTTAGCTAATACCAAGTACCAACACTCAGTCTGAGTTGTAGCATTCTTCTGTCTTCCTCCACAACGGAGCAGCGTATCAGCGTTACAAGCTCATATCTTCCTCCTAACTTAATGTCAGTGCAGGTCAGCGCTGAAGTCCGCGTATCTCCAATCACATTGTCACAGAGGAACTCACACCACATATCGCCTATATTATCAGGAGTCCGACGCTACTTCTCTTCTCATTTTCTCCCCCTCTCTTCGCTAGAAAGGACCGATGTTCGTGACCGAGTCATTGCCCAGTTGTGATAGGGAACAACGGCGGGTCACTGATCGCTAGCTCAGACCGTGGTAGACGGAGTGGGTATGAGCTGTCAGGTCGTTTGGTAATTGCGACGCGAGTGTGCCGTAAGGCTGTTGGTCGATGCCCGATCTGATCATCCTTAGCTCGTCGACGAGTAGCTGAGACTGCAAGGAATCTCAGGAGACGCTAGCGGGCTGAGAGACCCTTCCTAATCATCTTCCAGTGTAAGCGTTCCTCTGATTCGTCTTCATTGCATGGACTTTGTGTCGTCAACCAATACTCAGTAGGCATCGTCGCTATTGTAGAGACACAGCCGACACTGTTGCCTTTGATCAGACCCGGTCGATGCCCAGCCGGACCTTGTTGATAGAGTCGCCACTTGCAGGAGCTCGGTGGAAGGCACCGATGGCTCATGCCGGGAAGAAGATTGTACTAAACTGATCCTTACAGAGCTGCTCCATCTCATCTGTGGAGAGAGAAAGGGGAGGGACACCGGTGAGTGGACGTCATCAAGATAGGCGTCACGTTTTTCTTACAATAGAAACTCAGCAGTCCGGTTGCTGTCTTGTCTAGTCTGGTTGGGCCTAGCAATTCGCAATATCACAAAGGCACAACTAAGGTAATGAAAACAGACACAAAAGTAAGAATTTACGAGTTAAGACATAAATTTGGAAAAACAATCGGAATATTTGAACAGAAGATGATACGGTCCAGTCATTTTACTAACTGTTGACGTCCATAAGGTTCATATTCTTCTGCTGGACCACGGAGAAGAACTCCCTGTTGGGGTTGACCCGGCCGGCCACCCAGGTCTCGTTCATGGCCCGACCGAAGATCGCACCGCCGTCACCCTGGAACCTGTCAAAGGCGGGGCAGCTCCGTCATAAACGCAGTTATACAGAGCCTATGGACTCGTAGTAGCGACCCGTATTGGTACAAACTCGCAAGACCCACGATTATACCGGGAGCGCATACGACGGGGAAAAAACAAACAAACGAGGAATCATTCCTCGCTAAAAGAAAAAAGAAAACATAATAAAGCAACGCAAGACAAAAAATAAAACTCAAAAGTTCATAAAATGAAATTCCTTCCTCCGCCGATCTGTCCCTCTGTCCATCTGCAGTCTGTACATTTGCCCCCCTCCAAACACCGATCAGTGAAGGTAAACCTCGCCCCTCGCCGCCGGTGACCCGACCTGAGTGCGTCCTCTCGGAGGTCGACCATCAGCTGGAGGGCGTCCGACGGCACAGAGGCGGCCGTCGGGCCGTGCAGACTGCTCTTCTGTGCGCGGTTACACCGGTTATAGTAGATCAGTCTGTGGGACGCAAATGACATGAGTCGGATTAAAAAAAAAACTTAATACAAGTTACAACGTTTATATTCGATACCAATAACATCAGCCTGGCGACAACACGGACATGTGTCAAACACAAAACAGCAATGCGACGGGAAGATACGGCAACGGCAGAAACTCGGCAGCAAAACATGCAATTGGGTGTAAAAAGCAGCATGTATAACTGGTACCTTTGGATTACAATTCAAATTTGATATAAGAATTGCAATGCGTTCCAAAAGTGATGCACAATCTTTTCACCTAGTTCACTGACATTTGTTTGGTGGGCCATAATCACACCCCTTTCTCTCACACACGCTCCTCCAAGACTTACTTCGTGTCTCCGTCGTCTTTGCCCGACGACTTGTCGTCATTGATGACGCTACTCAGTAGAGTGGAGAGCTCCTGTACGGGACCAGCCATCGAGGCATCCAACTCCCGGCAGAGGGGCAGCGTGAGGCGCACCTCCACTGGGGAGAGAGCGGTCAATGTCAGACCAGAGTGAGGCGCACTTCCACAGACTGGGGACAGAGGGGCCAGACTAGGGTAAAGTAAGTCCTCTGGCCTCTGGGAGAGCGGTTAACGTTAGACCAGAGCAATGCTTACTTCCACTAAGTAGAGAATGAAGTCACATCCAAACTCAGGGCCACCATCCCAACTCTGGTACTCCTGATCGACTCGCTTTCCATCCAAACTTACGCCCTTCTCTCACTAACAACTATCTCCTTTCCCACCCACGCCCCCTCCCGTCCACTCTCAAACCCCGCCCCATCCAAACTCGGGCCCCGTCCCTACCCATCCAAACGCAGCCCTTCCCACCCGTTTTTGACTCACGGTCCACCAGTAGGACGACCACCACATCCCTCAGACGGTAGAGTACCAACTGAGCCCGCTCGTCCGTCGCCTCCACCGGATCGCCGCCGTTCCAGCTGTCATCCCCGTCCCTGCTGCAGCCGTCCGCAGCGCCGCCCAGCGGCAGAGCCGTGCAGTTGTGCTTCCGCAGGTGGACGATAGGCGGCGCCAGAAACGAGTCCGTGCCGTCACCGGATGCCTCGGTGGACATGAAGCTAAGAAAGGGGAGGGGAGGGGAGCATGAAAGCCTGATGTAAATAAAATTTGGACGCCATTTAATTGCGTCCCAGAAAAGCTATTTCTGGCACCTAAAAGCTGACTCGCCCCAAAATTGGTCCTCAGCACCTATTTGGTGGATACCAGCACCAATCATGGAAAATGACCTTAATTAGCTGTTTCTGGCACCTATTCATCGGTACGCCTTACTCTTTTTTCTGAATCTGGCACCTAAATGCTGAGCGTAGCACCAATCTAGTAGAAAAATGAACTACTGGCTGGTAGAATCATGTTGTTCTGGTATAATGACCCCTGGAGAATGACCCTGGAGTCTAGCCTAAAGGTTGCCAGTGCAGCTACACTCTAAGACAGCCCCGTAGTGATCTCAGCATTGTATATGACGTTTAAGTAAGCAAATAATATTGATTTGTTTGAAAAAACAATGTCATTTAAATATTTAAAAGTATTTATTTGTAATGCTTAAAGGGAAACATTTTTGTGAGTAATTGTCTCGATTTTGACCATTAAAACGGGTATTGTATCTTTTGACGTCATCAAATAGCTCCAAAAAAGAAATGTACTGTTTTCATTCCGTTCAAGGCCGCTGAAGAAACGCGGGATCTTGCGTGGGACATTGTCCGTTGTTTGCCGCGCAGAGTTGTGCCGTGGTTGTGCCTTTTTCATCCGTTTCTTACTTATGTCATATGTGTGCATGAAGCTTTGATTTTGTTTTTGGTTATTGTGTGGCCGGTCAGTCAAACGCCCCTGTAGAAACCGGATGCTGCGTTTGATCGAGATGGAGTCAGACGATGATTGCAGACCAGAAAGCTAATAATATTGAAAAGAGGGCCGGTTGCGTGGCATGTCTGTTCAGAGTTGACATTTTGCTTTACTCCAGTTTATGACCTGAGAGCCTGGCTGGAAGTGACGGATCCAAACTTTTCACGTTAAAATGGCTGAGGGTGCAATAATCTCTAGTAGTAGTCTCTACATAGCGGGCTGGTATAGGAGCGTCTTGCTATGCTGCACCATAGCTGGCTAGTGATTCTCTTTTGGCTAGAAATGGCATTAATCATTATCTCCACTGGCGAAAATGGCACTTGACATCACCGAATGCAACGTTTATGTTGTTAGGATACATAAAATCAGGAAGATTACGCGAATTAGGTAGGCAAACGTGGAATAAAATAGGTGCTGGATGTTTTGGTTTTGGTGCTGAATCAGCAAACAGCAAATACGGAGTTCAACTAGACGATCTGGCAACTTTAGGCTGTGTGGAAGCAATTAGGTGCCAGATTCAGATATTAGGGTCGAATAAGCATTTTGGGGCTGATCAGCAATTAGGTGCCAGAAACAGCTTTTTAGGGACCAGAAACAAATATTCCCCATAAAATTTTACCATAAAATTTATTAATGTTGAAATTGACTTTGCTACTAAACTTGACACAGCGAAGATGGGACACATTTCAACAAGAGGCCGACTTCCATGGGTCCTCCTCAGCCCAAACATTACCCAATACCCAGTTGCCCAACCATCAGCCATCAAGCCTTTTCCCACGGAAATACCACTACTCTAATATGCAACATGGCACCTCTCCAAGCGCCGGCCTGTCATGGCCGTCGGGACTCGGAACCCATGCTAGTCTATGGTTCACGTTCATTTACCGCTCATTACACAGTGAATCAATCGTTGGATAACATAATATTGAGTTTTAAAGCTGATCAATCATGAACGATGACGACAATGGAATTCACAGATTAAAATAGCACCTGGGGAGCTCTCATGGCCCCCCGAACTTCCGTCCGGCGGAGTTTGACTCACACTCCGCTGGTGGGTGCGGTCCGGTCCTTCCAGACGGCCGGCCGTTCGGGACCACACTCGGGAAACAGCACCGTCTCCAGGTACCAGTGGATGATGCCCATGTTGGTCTTACCCAGACCCGACCTGACGGAAAACAGGTTAGAGTTTATTAGCCGTCCTAAGTGAATACCAGTGGATGATGCCCATGTTGGTCTTACCCAGACCGGACCTGACGGAAAACAGGTTAGAGTTTATTAACCACCCTAAGTGAATACCAGTGGATGATGCCCATGTTGGTCTTACCCAGGCCCGACCTGACGGAAAACAGGTTAGAGTTTATTAACCGTTCTAAGTGAATACCAGTGGATGATGCCCATGTTGGTCTTACCCAGACCCGACCTGTAACGGAAAAACGTGCGATCAGTTAGGGCTTATTGAAGTTTCCAGTGAGTGCCATTGGATGATGACCATGTTGGTCTTGCCCAGGCCCGACCTGACGGAAAACAGGTTAGAGTTTATTAACCGTCCTAAGTGAATACCATTGGATGATGGCCATATTGGTCTTACCCAGGCCCGACCTGACGGAAAACCGGCGATTAGTTAGGTTTCATTGACTGTCCTAAATACCAGTGAATACCAGTGGATGGAGCCCATGTTGGTCTTACCCAGACCAGACCTGTAACGGATGTTTGTTGTTAGTAGGTTTTATGAACCAACTCGAGTACAAGTGGGTGATGTTCATGTTGGTAGCGGATGTTTGTGTTAGTAAGTTTTATGGAGAGTCTCTAAGTACTAGTGGATGACGCTCACCGGCCCACGTTGGTTTTACTCGGACCGGATATGAAACCGGACATGAGAAAAACGGGCGATAAAGATTATTAGAGTCATGAGAGCCGTGAAAATATAGTTAGATAACGCCCATCATTATGAGACTGGGTGCTTGCATCTTAGTGGACACTTGTAAATTGTAATGCAGAAGATTAATGTCGACATTATTGAGACGGATGTGTGTTCAATAACGTAAAACAATATTGACTTTTGTACCAAGACCAAGATCAATGTTGAGACACAGTAAACACACCGATGATACGAAAGCCAAATGAAAACAGTTGACATGGCTAACAATGGTGTTGCCATCGAGCTACGCCACGGCCTACGGTCATGATTAATATCCCAACCAGTTTAATGAAGGTTGGTTTCTAGAACTTCCATACAAGCAGCGAAAAACAGCACTAAAGAGATAAGGATATAAAGAAAGCACTAAGAAATCCTTACCAGATGAGATGCTGTTTGTAGTAGATGACCGAGTGTCGGATGAAGGGGTGCAGCACCTCCAGCTGGTTGACGAAGCTCTGCAGCTTCAGGAAGGCCAGTCGGTCCAGCGAGAGAAAGCGGACGCCGCCGTAGACGTCTCGAATGTCGCGCTGCTGGAGCCGCAGCACGGGCACGTACTGGCGGAAACAAATACAGGGATTACGCTCAGCAGCAGCACCGGGACGTGCTTAAGGAAACGGGGAACGCTGACTTAAGTACGTCCTTCAGTTCCTAAAATTTCTAAAAGAGCGTCAGGAACACTGCTCAGCCATAACTCAGGTGTGTATCTGGTAAAACCGGGATGAGACTAGCGTCATGGGCGCAAAACGGGGAGGATAATTAATGATCAAATAAGCGAGGTACTCGTTCCCAGCCACGCAACTCAACCATTCACTCTAAAGTCAAGTTTTGCCGCTTTTTACCGCCGATTTTCGGCGGGTACTCACGCTGTCGAATATCTCCGCAGTGCTGCGTACCAGCTCCTCCCGACTCTGGGCCGCCAGTGTACCGCGCAGCAGCCGGTACATCTGGTACATGTGTCGCAGCACGGAGAGGTACACCGACTGCTGTACCGCCTCCGGGGTGTACTCCTTGTACGGAGAGTTGTTCCTGGTGACCTCCTCCACCGGCTGGCGCACCACCTGTCCGCCAGAGGCGGATGGTGATGATTTGGAGAGACGGGGCGCACCAGCAACGAGGCTCTATTGGGATATATGGCCTTGATTTATATTATACGGAGATGCGTGCGTTTAAAGGTCCAGATCGTGGTATTCGTCGTTGTATTGGGCTTTAGGGCAGGCCAACAACAATGTTTCTTTAGCACCCAACTGAGTCAAGGTCAAAGACAGGAATATTTGCTCACACTTGGACTGGGAAATCGGAGTTAGTATGGCTAGGTAAATCTGATTGTCAGCAATCTCTGCTAGAGGGTCAAATGCACAGATGTGTCCTATTTTTCAGCAGAATTTAGAGCAGTGATAAATAACATTTAATGGTAGGTACTTTAATTTCTGCTGACTCCAGGACACAATTGAACAAAACAGGATAAAAATATCATAGACCTCTGATATCTAACTGTCACACCAAAAATTACCAGAGTCATAAAGAAGTCTTTCTCTGGTTCCAAGAAGAAGTGCTTCTGCTTCAGTGTTTGCATGCTGAGTAGAGGAGATTCACTGTTGAATGTTCTGTGAATGCCACAAAAAGTGTCAGCCACAGCTGCCTTGTCCATATATACTCCACGTTTGATGTCTCTCGGACGACGAAGATTCTTCATCGTCTGGCCAATCCCGTTTAAGGTCAGCGGGGGCTCGGCTGCCGTTATGGAACGTGATTGGCCGGACGGCGTAGAATCTTCGTCGTCCGAGACATCGAACGCGGGATTAGCCAAACAAATCACTTTTCATGCATGGAATTGTTGAGACTTTGGATTACAATGACAAACAAGCACAAGCTACACATCGTGTAACCATAGGAACACTTATAATATGAGGAGAGCAGGAAAATACTGTAAGGTAAGAGTTCTATAGCCTTGATAAGAACCTATAACAGTTTCATTCTCACCCATAACCCACAAGAGTCAACAGGAATTTCATTTTGTGGAAGGCAAAATAAACACATCACAACACAGAGCACTACCATGAGATGACAGCAAACAATAATGTTTTGAGATCCAAAAGAGTCACCAGGCTATGAGCTGCATATAACCAATACCATAGACCACGATATATAGTGGTCTATGCCAATACATAACTGACCTCGAGAACTGCACCAGTGCTTCAACCAGGCCGACATCTTTGACCTTGCTGTTGATGTCGGCTGAGGGTGGGTGGTAGTATATGATTTTGTTCTCCTCCTGCACACAGACAATCGACAGGTTATTATCTTCATTAGTGACAAAGACAAGGACAGATGGTCCTAAAGAGGGCTACTAACTACACTCTTATAGCAAATCTGAAAAAACAGCAATCTGAAAACCAGGGCTGCGGAGTCGGAGTCGGAGTCGGAGTCGGTCGGAGTCGACAGTTGTGACCGGAGTCGGAGTCGGAGTCGGAGTCGATTTTAGAAACCCGGACCGGAGTCGGAGTCGGAGTCACCGAAAATTTGTCGACTCCGCAGCCCTGCTAGGTCTGCGGAGTCGGAGTCGGGAGTTGGAGTCGGTCGGAGTCGACAATTCTGCCCGGAGTCGGAGTCGGAGTCGGAGCTGGTTTTTAAAAGCCGGAGTCGGAGTCAGAGTCGGAGTCACCGAAAATCCATCGACTCCGCAGCCCTGCTGAAAACAATGTTTTTTGATAAAAAACTAATAGCTTAGTGATTCTTAAAAGAAAATCAGCAGTTAACTTCATCGTAAAGCTGTTATAATTGACACAATTTGTATACTTATAAGGAACTAGATACTCATTTCAATGCTTAAAAAGGTGTGCAGGTACTGGTCAAAATGTATTTGTATAGGCACTTAAATGCTATTTTTGTGTATTTCTACCTATTGTCAAGTCCCTGACAAACAGAAAAGAGTATCCGCTCATCATTTAACATCAGACAACTCACCTCACCCTCCCGGGGTCCAAAGGTTGAATTAAAGATGAAAAAGCTGCAAAGCTCCACACCTGCGTTTTGCTGAGACGACATTGATTCCAATCGCCAGCTACTTTGTGCATTCAAAATCCCCCTTTTCTATCAAACCTGGACATAAAACAACTTATCAGGGAATGAAACACATGAGACATCAAATTGTTTCGCAGAAATAAAGGTATTTACTGTGAATATGCTGAAAAAACAGCCACCTCAACCTACATTTCAGTATGACTCGCCATAATTCAATTCATAATCTATAATCTAATACAACTTAGCAGGCGTGAAATTTGAATTCTTGAAATGGTATCTAAGAAATCCAATTCCGTAGCCATGCACACCATTTATTATATGCATAAAAAGTCCAAAAATAAATGGACATAACTACAATTTGGCTGTAGACAATGAACGGAATCAATTCAACAACAGTTCACTAACAGCAACAATCCACATTTGGGAATAGAAATCGGTAGGGGATGGGGAAACAAATATGCAACATTTTTTCTCCAAAAATTTAAAATAAAAGAAACCCCTTACCTGTCCTCCAAAATATTTTTTATCAATAAATGCCACTATAAATGCAATAAATGCAATCGCCGCAATCGCTCCACGACTGTATCAAAACAAGGATACTGAAATGCTGTGGAAATAAAAAATTAACGCTGTCATTGCAGTGACGTCGTAATATCACATTACGGCTTGGTGTAACTGGCCGGTCACAGCACTCACAGGTGTGAATTTGGACACCTAGCTCGCAACGGCATTGATGTCGTAGCTTCATCTAGTGACAGCTTCAGGGTTACAGTCTTTCCGAGGTACCGTTAAAGTGACGAGACGGTATCACTCAAACGCAAAGTTCAATGACTCATTCCTCCAATCAGAAGGTTGAAACAGAATGACGTCCATAGTTTTATTTGATGATCTTATACTTCATGTGATCGGAGATGTCACCAATTTTTTATCCTTGATGTAAACAATCGTGACTGCAACACGAGGGCAGCGATGGAATTTGATCGGTTTGTTGATCGGTGACATTTGACGTGATAAGGCGGGGAGCGTTCTGGTCAAGGGGTAAGTTTCCTGCCTATTGGGGGATAGAGCTATCCGGGTTCGATTCCCGAACAAGGCAAGTGGTCTAGTCGCTTTCTGACCGCCTGGAACAGCATGTGTTCAAGTTGCCGCGGGACTTGCAAATTGCAATGCAATGGGTATCGGTAATAGGCAAGGCTATAGTTCTTCGCCTAATTTCGCGCCCCGTTTGTTACATGCTTAGTGCATCACGCGAATTCGCATTTTTCCAGGTACCGAACCAATGTGAATGTGAATGATTTTCGCGGCCCTCTGCAGTCGATTCACCGTATTGGCATGCGATTTATTCAGCCGTTTCGAATACCGATATGAAGACGTCATGTGACCTCGGTGACCTCGAGGGATAACTGAACGTCTTCATCTTCGCCCACAGCAACCAACTTGTTACTCGTAACTGCGACCGATCGAGGACAAAACATAGCTGCCGCTCGCCGAGGTAATTGAGGTTACCTGAGGCTGAGGCCACTGTGTTGTGTGCAGTTTATTCATGAACCATGATGAAATCGCATACGGCGAATCGACTGGTGACGTCTTAGTCTAGATCTGCTTGGTAGTTGCTGAGCTATAGGATGCCTGCAATATAGGCGAAAACGGTTCACCCGGTCCTAGAGGTCACCATATTCTAAACGTTTGCGTCTGATAATCGCATTCGGCGAATCGACTGGTGCCGTTTTAGTTCCGATATGCCCGGTAGTTGCTGAGTGTTGAAATATAGCATGGCTTCAATGGGGCTCCGTGTGGCATGCAATCCCAAATCCACCGTCTCGATTCGATCTTTCGGCGTTTGATCTTTTCGTGTCCGGCCGCTCAGTACTGACGGTACTTTCAGTTTCGATCTTTTAGTAGGTATGTGCCTTGGCCACGACTTGTTCGTCGGAGACTGTTGACATCGATGAACTAGTAAACACACCTGAGCAAAGGCCAAAGGTAGCGCCAGCGGAGAGCTCCTGCACGCTAGACATCTTGTCAGATCTATTGTGTTTTACAGTACGGTTTCTGAACACCCAAGCCTGTGTCAGATTTGTGATTCCGGATCAGCCCCCGCAATAAGATCGGCATTCGCCACTCACTAAGCGCAACAGCGAAACGGGGTGAAAATGTGATAGAAACTGTTGTAGCGAGTGAGTGGGCAACGGGAAGCCGGCCGGCCGGCGGCGGATGAGACGCCGCCGTCCCGGCCCGGCGGGTGTAGACTGAAGCGTCTCCCTGTGGGAGGTCTGTCGAGGGCCGGGGAGGGGGGGGGGGTGCGACTCCGCTCTGCCCCCGAGGCCGGCAGTGCCGCGTCTCGCTGTGGGAGGGGGGGGGCTGTCTGCGGGGCTGCTTTCCCCCTCCTTGAAGACGCCGGGACTTCCGCTGCCTGCGGTGGGAGCATGGATTACTTGAACTAGTTATCCAGTGACGGATCCAGGGGAGGGCAACTCCCAAACGGCAAAATTTAACATTACGCCTACCTATCTACAGTGCATGGAAAGAGCCACTAAATCGTTATTGTTTGCCCCTCCCAAAACTCTGAGCTGGGTCCGCCAGTGTAGTTATCCATGGCGGGAGTAAGCGCTGGTATGTGACCACGCTTCCTTCCTGGGCCCACACCGCCCTCCGGCAGCAGTAGTGGCGGAACACCTTCAATTAAGGGGAGGGGGGGGGGGGCACTGCCGACTTTTGGTCCCATTCTTTCCATGTCTTTCCATGCAACGCCCATAGAGCTAATGCTGAAATGCCAAAATCAAAGGGGGGCACGGTGCGCCGGTGCCCTCCCCGTTCCGCCGCCTATTTCCGGCGGCGAGGCGGCAGTCCGGCTGGAGGCTTGCTGCGGTGTGCACGAGCAGTGAACACGCTGGTAAACAACTGAAGAAGGAACTCCGGCCGCAAGACCCGTCACCTGAGGCCACCATTCAAGCCGTCCCACTGCTCTGCTGCGCTGCGTAGGTATATCCGTGGCCTGATATTTCTGGCAGAGTCGAATCCCGTAATATCAGCACCTTAACGGTCCACTAATGATCATCGATCCATTCCCGACGACTTTTTGATGTCACTGGTCAGCAGGCACTCCCGTTCCCGTTACGCCGTCAGGCATAAGGAGAGTCGACCGTCAGAGAAGAGTCAGAGTCCGTCAGAGGAGAGTCAGAGTCAGTCAGAGGAGAGTCAGTTAGTTAGAGGAGAGTCAGTCAGTTAGAGAAGAGTCAGAGTCAGTCAGAGGAGAGTCAGAGTTATTCAGAGAAGAGTCGGCCGTCAGCGTCCTAATCGATTCTGATAACCGACTAGGCCTTTTATCTTATTATCGTTTAGAAGCTGGAGCCAGCAGAACAGGAATGCAACACATGACTTACTGACCCCGGTCTTTCGTCTGTTACCTGCGTACTCTGTCCTTACAGTGACCTACTGGACCGCTGTGTGTATGTATCGGTATATTGCCTCAGTCGTCAGTGTTTTGATTGGCTCTGACCTTCGTGCATCGTCGTGACGTCGCATCGCCCGGGGCTACAGCAGCCGGGAGCCGAACGCCCCCCCCCCTCCCTCCGACAGTTCTCGACTCGACTCTCCCTACGTCACCCGACACCTTACCACACACCAAGGCAGATGTAAGTATCGATTGTAGCGTGACAGACTGCGAACGCTGCTCGCTGAAAGGTTGATATGTGGGAGAGCATGATAGTTGCCTGGTTGAGGCGAACAGTCAACAAGGCTATGAAAGGAGCTAGCAGATTTGTGGTTACAACTTGTTTGTACAGAAATTGCAAGCTAGCCTAGTGGACATCCATTCTCGAACTTTGTTATTTGCGAGCCCGAAACCTCAACATCATTTAGCGTCATCATCGTCGTCTGGACATTTATCTGGCGCGTCTTCGACTGAAGCAGGGCTAACGCGTCACGACGTACGTCGTCATCCGAACCTTTGGCCTTGCTGATATAGTGCTGTTTGAGCGCGAGAGTTGAATCTCCGCTCGTTCAAATAAGACGTGTTATCGTCCAGCCGATAGTCGGTGCTGCGAGACTCATGAGCAACTGCAACCCCCCGAAATGGTGCAGTTCGTCGCTGGCAAGCGTCAGAGTCTCAATCGCTAAACTGTGACTGCATTACTCCAAAGGCTGTAGAAGCGTTGATTGAATTGGTGAGTGGACACTGGAATAGCTTTTTATTTCGTGGCTCTGTTGCTATCTTGTGTGCGTGTGGATTTTAGCTTGTGAATTATGTTATGGGCATCTGTTTTGTTTTCAAAACACGTGATATTGTTGATATCTTGTATGCGCGTGGATTTTAGATTGTGACTCCTTATATGGGCACGTGTTTTGTTTCCAACAAGTTCCATATCAACCGGTTGCGCACTTTTGTTCAGCGTGTTTTTAGCAATGATGCCAACTACGTGGATATTGAGGGACAATGATAGAATAGGAATACTCTCAGTGTTCGTGCGGCGCAAATTCAAAGGTCCCCCCTCACTACTTCCCGGAAGATGTACCTAAATGTTTATCCGTCTCAGATTCGACGGGTTTGTTTAGGTTCTTTTGCATCCAACTGGAACGTTACATGGACGTTCCCAAGCTTACTTCACTTACTACGTTTCGCTTACTGTTGACGGTACGAATACGATGAAAAATGAAAACATTGTTTTATCCTCGAATAATCGTTCTTAACAAGCATGATCGACTGAATATCCCTGCTCCAAGATGTCCAATCGATAAAAGAAAAGTTTAGTGTGAGGCGGTTCTCAGGTGTTAATTTGCTCATTCAGATGACAAAGATGAAATTAAGCGCTCATGATGTTAAAAGTTTCATGAAAACGTCCGGTATCATCAAAACATTGTTCGTAGTAAGCAGGCAAGCTCGTTGCTGTCTGACCGAAGCGACCTGCCTTTGTCGAAATATTTTTTCTTTCTTTTCTTTTCTTTCGCTGCTTTTAATTTTCAACTCATATTTGGTTCGAAGTTTGCTCTAAAACGTGTTAGAATCGGATGCTCAAGTATTTTGTGTTTAGCTGTCCAACATGCAATTGCCAGTGCCAAATTACTGCCTCACTCATTCTCTATTACATGCCCAAAGAGCGCGGACCAAAAGACTCTACATACCCTAGCCCCCCCCCCCCATCCGCCACTGCTTCCTCCTTTCCATCCTTATCCTCCCCCCCCCGCACAAACAAAAACATTTAGCAAACTTTTCTTTTGACGGCTCAGCTGTCACAGTTGTCGGCTGATTGCGTAACGTCTTACTTGTTAGGCGTCAAAGTCGGACGATGAGCGAGGGGGATGTGAGCCGTTCTAGCACGCGCTTACAAACTCCTGGCGTTATCTGGGATTTCCTGTGTTAGATCACCGCTCTACCAACACCGTTGCAGTGTGTAGTGTGTACCTACATTGTTGAATTGAAGAGTGACGAGCTGATGATGGCATAGATACCCCGCTTTACCTTGACGTGTTTCCCTCCGCCCACGCACACACTTACACTACATAAAAGCTAGACTCTTGAGATTGAACTTGTGGGTTTTGAAGTATTTTTTTCCTTATGCTTGAGTGGCAAGTGGGCGGCCCAGGTTCAGATCTGTACTTGTTCCAAATGACGCCACGGACTCATGACCCAACATGTCTGTCTTCGATTCACCGGAAATAATTTTAGCAGAAAATTAAACGTGTCACAGCTAGGTAGCGATACGATTCTCGGGTCAAGCGTGACTCTCCTACAAGGTGCTAGTCAAATAACATTTTTTTATAAATTTAGTCCGAACCTTTTGATAGGAAGGATTCACAAGGATAGAGCCACCGCTAAGCGAAGCTTGTTGCAGTGACCCTGCCCGCTACCCTCCGATCGCGCAATGCCAGTTCTATGGCAGAATTTAGAGTCCAAAGTTTAACGTGCGCACATAGCCGCGCACGGTCGGTCCCCTCACTGACTTGACTTCGCCTGGCTACGGGCTGCCACCAACCGCAACCATACCTGTCAGGAGGCTCATAAATGTCAAGCGCCCGTCGCGCTTCGAACCCGGACTGTTGTAACCGGGAACGGGTGCTCTCACCACGCGGAGTCCAACGCTCTTACCAACTGAGCT